TGAAATTAAGAAAAATAGAAAAAGGTATGTAAATTGATAAATGGATAATATCGACAGCCTAACTAGATTTCCTAAGAAATGGTGGACAGACCGGGTCCATAGAGAACCCTACCAGAAACGTGGTCTCTCATATCGGACGGAGTGTGGAGACTTTATGTGTTTTGGCACCCATATCGGACGGAGTATGAGGACGGCCCATTTCACCCTCATACTGGACGGAGTATTGAGGTTTATGGTTTTGGTACCCATACCGGACGGGGTATGGGGACAGCCCTGGAATTAAGTTATTAATGTGAATGGTTCACGTGTAGCGGGGACCGCCTATGAATCCCCATGGATACTAGTAGGCTGATAAAAGAGGAAATTTGTTGCCTGATGATTGAAATACAAAAGTATGATATGTGTTATGTTACAGAGTGTGCATGATCTTATGATATTTATGATGTTATTGTTTCTCATAAGTTGTTTTCATGAATCTCACCGAGGTAAACAGATAGTAAAGGTTTTTATTATTGATAAATGAGTTTGTTATCAATTATGCTCTATTGGTCGTTTTTATTTTCGACCAACCTTTACTTCTGTGACAATGAGATAGTGTGATGTCTTTACTGGGCTAGTGTAGCTCATTCCTTACTTAACCATTTCAGATCAGGAAGACTTGGTTCCTGAGCCCGTTCCGCATGAAGACGGCAGTAGATGTCTAAATATTTTATAGTTTTATTTATAACATTCATCTATAGTATTTACTTTATTTTGTTTATTCTTTCATACGTTTAGTATGTTTGGATTATTGTGTAAGGGATATTAATCAAAATTTTTATTCCGCTTTCGCACTTAGAATTTTTCTTATATATATACATTTCCCTTTAAAATTTCGGGGTCGTTACAAGTTATGTAGATATAGTGAGTCTTGGCGATGTCTGTGTATAAAAAAATATTGGTTGTACGTTGACCTTGAAAAATGTGTGACATGTGCCTGAATTTTATTTCTATTAATGTCTTGGGTCTAGATAGTTATCATAACTTCTTTGGTGATAAAAAAGGTAAACTCATTAAAGGGTCAATTGTAATTGCTAAAAGTAGATTATTTCGCACACTTTACAAGACTCAAGTAAAAATAATTAAAAGTGCTCTATATGTAGCTGAAGATGATATTTTACTAGACTTATAATATAAGAGGCTGTCTCATATGAATGAAAAAGGGTTACAGGTCCTGACAAAGAAGTCTTTCATTCCTTTTGCCAAAAGTAAGAGCTTAAACATTTGTGATGATTGTTTATATGGTAAACAACGCAATTTTTTTTTTTGTAATTCTTCTTAAGGAAAAAAAAAGATATTTAAGTTAGCCTATTATGATGTATGTGGTTCTATTGATGTAAAAATATTAGACAGTAGTAAAAATTTTATTATCTTTATTAATGATACTTTACGAAAAGTTTGAGTGTTTATTTTAAAAACAAAAGACTAAGTTATATAGTACTTCAAACAACTTCATGCTACAGTGAAAAAAGAAAAATGAACATTCTTAAAGTATTTTCACAGGGACAATGGTGGCGGACACACTTTAAAAGAAATTGAGAATTATTATATACAACATAAAATCATACATGAGAAGACTATTCCTAATAATTCTCAAGATAATGGTGTTATTGAAAGAAGAAACATAACCATCTTGGAGAAAGTTAGATACATGCTAAAAATGACTAATCTACCAAAGCAATTTTGGGATGAAACACTTTACACTTTCTGCTACCGAACGAACGCTCTATCAAATGTTTTGAATTTTGATATTCTTGATAGAGTATAGTTTGGGAAGGATGTTACTACTCTCATTTGAAAATATTTAGGTACATTGAGAAATAAACTTGTAGTAATGGTGAATATGGTCGAATCTGTAGGGAATTGAGTTTTAATATTATTTTACAACCAGCAATAAAATAAAAATGAAAATAGGGGATTTCTGTTTTAAATTGAAATTAAATAATCAATGGATTAAAACAAATCAACAATTAAAAATAAACTAAATGAAATTGCCAAAAAATAATTTAGCAAATTAAGTAAAATTAAGAATCAATTATGAATAGGTTCCAGTTAAAGAAATAATATCAATTTTAATATGCATGATTGATCATTGATACAAAGATAAATTCTTACTAATTTTTACTAAACAAGTTCTAGTTATTGAAGACACTCCTAATAAGCAATCTTTCCTTAATTCTAGACTAATTAAGAGATACTCGTTGATTAACCCTTGCTAGTGAAAAACTCCAAAGATGCTCTTACAATTGAATTCACTAACAGTATTAAGAGTTAGAAAGACCGAATTCTAACCAATAAACTCAACCGTGCAGTTTATTCAAATTAAATTATATATTTTTTTAATGTGAACACTAATTTACCACTAATTAATGGGATATCCTGAATAATTACGAATTCAAGAATCTCAAATGGTGATATGCTATTAAGCTAGATGCACAATGAACCCTGTTGTAGTGAATAACAAATAATAATTTTCGTATGTGCAGAAAAATATATAAATATTGAAAACAATGAAGAGTAAAAGTAAAACAATTAGATCTCATGGCTCTGAAATTGAAACTTCAATTAAATCATTGACTGAAAAATAGGAGTATCTAGCCACTCATAATGAGTTTAGTACACCAGCAATTGTTTAGAATCAACAAAGAAAAATTATAGAAAAATAGAAAGAAAATATGTTCGTCTTCTTCTTCTCCGTTTTGGCTATTTAAAGAGTGAATCGTGTGTAGGTAGGATTTTTCTTTCCTTCGTTTCAGCCTCTTTCTATTTTTAAAAGTGTTCTTTTTCCTTAATTTCCTACTTCTTCTCATTTCTTTGCGTTGGACAGAATCCTGAAAAATTAATATTTGATGTCGTCATTATGGTGCAAGGCTTGTCCAAGACTTAATTGTGTGCGAACTAATATCTACTGCCACCGCTATGGTACAAGTCTTACCTGAGGCTTAACCGGGTGTGAATGAACTTTTTTGTACAAAAATCAGCTCAATCAGGGATTTTTTTGGAATTGATTCTTGCATTCATACTTGCATTAGAATTCAACAAAATTCTTTCTGTTAGACAGTAATTGATCTAATTATGTTATCAAACTAATGAATAAAATAGACATTTATGTACACTATCAAAAGCATTTGTACATGTACTTGAGTAGAGACATAACCTTGATGACAAGACTTCCATGTACTTTTCTTAGCTATGGAGATACAAAATATAAGTATAGGTTATGAGATCCAGTGAAGAATAAAGTATTATATGCCAGAAATGTGATCTTTGATTAACATAAGACCATGTTGGACTTTGAGATATCAAAGA